AGGTCTAAACGGCTTTACAGCTCAAATAATACACAAGAATAAATCACAAAATTAATACGAAGAATTAAAGAATTAATGTGTTTATACAATTAAAAACATTTATTTTAGTTATAATTATAAACATTTGATTACAGTATTTATTCTTGTTGAATTAGCTTTTATTTTTATAGTTTCAGTTGATATAGTTTTATTTCATTTTAGATACTTTATTTAATTTGATTTCAATTACCGAATACACCAATTTTTAATTAGGGATGTGTCAAATTGATCTTTTTTGTAAATCAACTTTATGCCACAAATACAGCTGTTTGAGTGGAACACAAAATGTCTTTAAAGAGTTAGTTGACCCAGAAAAACAAACTTCTGTCATGATTTACACAAGGCTATCAAATAACTTCATTATAATTATAAACATTTGATTACAGTATTTACTATTGTTGAATTAACTTTTATTTTTATAGTTTCAGTTGTATTTTTTATTTTATTTTTTTATTCGTTTTTTTAATATCTGTATAGTACTTAAACTTGTTTCAGTTATTTCCATTTTTTTCCAATAAAGTTTTATTTCATTTTAGATACTTTATTTAATTTGATTTCAATTACCGAATACACCAATTTTTAATTAGGGATGTGTCAAATTGATCTTTTTTGTAAATCAACTTTATGCCACAAATACAGCTGTTTGAGTGGAACACAAAATGTCTTTAAAGAGTTAGTTGACCCAGAAAAACAAACTTCTGTCATGATTTACACAAGGCTATCAAATAACTTCAGAAAACTTGGCACACTAGACATGAAGACTATATTGTTATGATGCTTTGAAGCTTGATGACTTCTGTCCTCATTCATTTTCCTAGTGCACATTCTGTAATAGTCTCCACAGAAAAAAGCAAGTCATACCGGTCGGAGAAAGCGGATGACGGTGAGCAAACAATTTTTGGATGAACTATCCCTTTAAGATTTTTTTTCCCTACATTTGGATTTGTTTTCATTGTTGCTCTCCACAGTAAAACTCATATTAGCTTGTTTATGTGGTGACCGCTAAATGCATAATGGAACCAGCTATTTTTTAGGGCTTTTTAATGTCGTCCTCAGAGTTATAAAGCCTATTCGTAAGAAACAGGAAAAGGCCAACTGGATTAGAACAATTATGATGAGCTCAGCTAAAGCTGCTTCCTAATGGCCTCATGCAGTCGACCTGCTCCTCAGGGAGAGGACTGGCGCTCGTATAGGGAGATAAGTCAGCGTGGAGCTCCGCTTACGCTAGCTCTTAAATGCCCATGAGAAAGCAGGAGGTAATACGTTTTCATCATGCGCATATGCACTATGACGCAGCCTATGGGAACTCTCGCTGCATAATTCTGAGAGGCCCTGTGAGGCCACTGACAAACAGAGGATGACAATTAAAAACACTGATGTATTTAAGCTCAGGGGTGGCCTTCTTGTGCCAGCTACGACTACATTCAGCTGCCTTGAATATGGGAAGTCCCACACTCCCAGAAACATCGTACAGCTCTGCTGCGTCGGCACTCGACACTTGAAAATGTAAAAGCCATAATTGGAGGGCAAAGTCAGCACTGGGGGTTTGGAGTGCATGGGATCATGGGAAGAATAATTTGGGGTATGGGAACAGAATGTCTGGAATAATTATGAGTGTGGTAGTACTACTTTGGGTCTTTTTGCACCCCCATAATTTAACATAGACATGAATGCATGAATTAAGACATACTGTAAGAAGACTGTGGTGATGTCATGCGTTTGTTAGGGTTGTGCATGTGTCTGTATTGGGACAGAATCAGAGATGGGCAGGGCTTAAACAAGAAGCATGTCAAACTAAATGAAAAGCCAGTTTCTTTAATGTAATTCTAGTCCGTTTGAAGTTTCCGTTATTTGCAAATATGCCTTGCGTAATTCACAAGTATTTTTTTTTCTTGATCTAAATCAAAGCTAATATATATAACATAAATGCTACATGTGAATGATGGATACTAGACTGTTTTGAATCTGTTCACCAAAAAGATTCATTCACTCTCCCTATCAGCAAGTTACATTAAATTAAATGACAACAAGTGACTTATGATAATATTTAGTGCCACAATTTGACAAAGTGAGTCATTGAATCATTAACACAACGTAGTTGTAAGAAACATTAAAACTTAATATTTATTTACTTTTAATCCTTTATTGAAATTCAAGTGTACAATTGACCGTTCACAAAGAGCTTGATTGACAGGCGATCTGACCAATCAGAATGTGGATATTACGTGCTGCCGCCACTACGTCTCCATAGAAATCCATGTTAAAACGGGGTAAGAAAAGATCGACTGAATTGAAACTTTTTCAATATAACTAAATATAAACATGTGCAGAGGGTTAAGCTGTGCTGTTGTTGGCTGCCACAGTAACGGTATAAGCTAAGGAATTCCTTTAAGTACTTGTTTTGAGTACCAGAAAATCTGTCATGTCCGGCGTTGTATGCATGGCTTGCAGTGCTTAAGTTAAAATACTGAGTGTGAAATAATAAAATGATGGGCAAACTCCAAAAGGAAGTGAGCATCTCTATGCCCTTCTCCCTTCGAAGGGCAGATCCCTTTGAAGTGTGTTCTTTTAAGGGTGTAGGGCATTAGGCACCGATCAGACAGAACGCATTTTTCAGGCGCACCGCACTGCCTTTTTTGGTTGATTTTAGAAAAAAAAAGAGAACTGAATTTGAAACTGTAAACTTTCATCAGCACAATGGAAGGCCCACCTCTCCATTCGATTGGACAATGGAAGAAAGTGCGAATGACGTCAGGTGCTTTTCTGCTCAGAGTTGCTGGTTTTTTTCAACTTCAGGCGCTTAAACAGCGCGCAAAACGCTTATAAAATTTTAAAAAGGCGCCTCTCGCTGCAAAAAACATGTTCTGTCTGATCGGGGCCTTACTGTTTCGTTTAAGCGTTTGGAACTCCCTTGGTGAAGGGAATGACTGACCAAATCTTACCTTGACAACGCTGTGCATGCGTGTAGCATTCTGCACTCCATCAATTGTTGCAAATAAATATTTCTGCTCATTATTATTATTTTATTTAAATATTGTCTCACTGTCTCATTTACTATTAAACTTTTTCTAACTAAACGTGCTTAAACTTGCTTACACTGACCGTCAGACCATCTTAAATCATATATCTATCACTTACGAAAATATTTTGTATCACATATAAGATATTCTACGTATGTTTGTATGTGAAGTCGAAATCAACCCCAACTTTGCTTTAAAATGCATCGCAAGAGCTCTGAACTAAAGATCACATGATCACAAACGGAAATCACTTCCGTGAAGTGAACATCGCATGTTCCCTTCGCTAACGGACTTCTGGAAGGGCCCTTCGTGAAGGGATAGAGCTGATCACTTTTGTTTGGAAAGTCCCTACAAATGGCGTAGGGTGTCACGAATCCGGTCCATGGACTTGCGTTCAATCGCCACCAGAGGTCACCCTTCCGTTACATTGACTCTCGCACTACACAAACTGTTACACATCACCCTGGACTACATTTCCCATGCTCCATTGCACTAATCACAAGCTCATCTGAAATCAATCACACACAGCTGCTACCAATAACACACACTATATAATCAGTCTCACACCACCATTCAATGCCGAGTATTGTTTATCTATCTAGTGATAGCTACTTTATGGAACCATTCCAAGTTTCTGAATCTAGTATAGCCTTGTTCTTAGTCTGTTTATCCATGTCTTGATCCTTGCCTGTTATCTCGTTTTGTCTGATCTTTGCCTGCCCTGAAGTTTATAGACTGTTTTGGAATTACCCTTTGCTTTGCTGTTTCGGCCTGTGTTTGCACCTCGCCTGGACTCTAGCTCGTCTTGTGGATTCCCCGTTTGCCTCGCCCTCAGGATTACATTCACCGGAGATCAACTGTTTACTGGACTACTCTTGTGTCTTGCCCTCAATATACCTGTTTGCCATCGTTTGACCCATGCCTGTTATGACCACGTCTCTGTCTTATAAAAGCCTGCAGATGGATCCACACGTCTCATGTCTCGTTCGCCCCGTAACAGTAGGGTTGGTGTAGGGTGGTAGAAAATACAGTTTGTACAGTATAAAAACCATTACGTCTCCATAGGCCCTGTAAACCGTGTGTGTGTGTGTGTGTGTGTGTGTGTATGTGAAAAACACCCATATAATACAATATACAAAACATAGTATCTAGGATTGATTAAAAGCCAATATGAAAATTTTTTTCAGATTAGATTGAAATTGATATTATTTTAGTATCTTTGAGATGCTACAACAGCTTTTATTACTATTTGGAATTAAATTTTTATATATTTTTTATCATTTGTATTTGTCTTATTTCTTTTATATTTTCATTTCATTGTAAATTTTAGCTGTAGTTGTAGTAATTTTGGGTTTTGTCATCTTTCTCAGTTTTTAGTCATTTTAATTTTACTTTTAGTATTTCAAGTTAAACTAAATAAAAATGAGAAATGTTGCTTTGGAAACTAGCTAAAATTAAATGTTTTTTAAAATATTTTATTTCAGTTAACGATTATTTTATTTCTAGTAATAAAAAGGGTTTTTATGGTTTTCCCTGTGCTGATCTAATATAAATCACTGCTGTTCCACAGTTTAAACCTAGTACTGAGTAGCTGATAAATGTAGCATTCAGAGCATGTAGAGTGCAAACAAACAGCTCTCTGGTGTAAAACCTGTTGACAGGTAAAGATCAGCAAACCTGGGTCTCACACATCTAACATCTTCATTGAGAAATCACGATCCTCCATTCTAGACTAAAGAGAGAGAGAGAGGAAAGGCTTGATTATTCACCGTCTGACAGATGAATTGAATAAAATACAGTTTGGGTTTCAAAGCCCAGGATTAGAGCAAACACAGTGTGATTGTTTTACCCTTAATATGAACTACAGATCTGGATGTGGTACTGGAACAGAAGTTCAGGTCAGTTGTCCAGCAGAACTGTGACCCTCAGATGGGGGGCGTGGCCAATGGGGCGATCTGGGATCCATCAACACCTCCGTTCCCCAAACAGGCTTCTCCTACCCGGAGCCTCTGGAGCGGCACCACATGGAAAGTAAGTGCAGAGTGGAAACTGGCTGCCAAAAAGTCCAAGCTCTGCACCTCTTCCAGATTAGCATTCCTTCCATCTGACACATGTGCTGTGAAGCAGATTATCATCTAAGTGGACAAAGCACAATTTAGAGAAAGGTTGAAACCTCAAAGGCAGGGTGAGGAGGTACCTTATAACAACACCATTCACGGAGGGTAACTGCACCATGGGAAAACGAGGCAGTTATGTGATTTGGGAAATGGTCACCGGGAGTTTGTGGAATGTAAATATTACACGTCATCCTAGTTGAGACTTGGGCTGGGAAACCATTATTTCAGAAATACTTTGATTCCACAAACAGTTCTGGAATGTCTGCGTTCTTCCACTGATGGGAACGTAACACCTAAATTATCAGAGGTCGGGCGTCTACCTGCCATCGCCTTAGGACTCCGCTCCTCTGGCTGCACCTCGTTGCTCTGTCCCACCGGCTCTATTGGGTTCCTTCCTCCCGCCAGCTCCACCTTGGTCCTCAGTTGCTCCGGCTCCTTATAAATGGGAGTTTGTGGAATGTAAATATTACACGTCATCCTAGTTGAGACTTGGGCTGGGAAACCATTATTTCAGAAATACTTTGATTCCACAAACAGTTCTGGAATGTCTGCGTTCTTCCACTGATGGGAACGTAACACCTAAATTATCAGAGGTCGGGCGTCTACCTGCCATCGCCTTAGGACTCCGCTCCTCTGGCTGCACCTCGTTGCTCTGTCCCACCGGCTCTATTGGGTTCCTTCCTCCCGCCAGCTCCACCTTGGTCCTCAGTTGCTCCGGCTCCGTTTGCGGATCTCCGCCTCGGTCGCCAGAGCCCTCGGCTCCACCCTGGCCCCCCGGATCATCGGCATCCCCTGGCTCGTTGGCTCTCTGTCTCCGCCTCGGGCTCCTCCACCACGTGCTCCGCCGCCGTTGGTCGGCCCCCTGGAGTCGGCGGCCATTCCTCCTCCATGGCTCCTCCCTCCATCGGCTCCACTGTTTGTCGACATTATGGCTGTGGCCTGGGTCCAGCTGGGCTCCTCCTGCTCCAAGCCCCTCCTGTCTCCTCCCTCCAACGTCTCCTCCCTGGACTCTGTCTGCCGGCCCCCTCCCGGGTGTCCGTCCTCCTCTGGAACCTCCTCCTTAGTTCCCACCCCCCTCCCCTCTCCTCTCCTCTGTTGTTCTACGGTGCGAGGACGCACCCCGTGACCCAGTTTCTCCTCGTGTTTATTGTGTTAATTTGATTATGATTCCATGCACCTGTGTTCCCCTGATTGCCCTGTGTTTATTAGCCCCAGTCTGTGTAGTCTTCCTTTGTCGGTTCTACTCGTTACGTTGATGTGTTTCCTGCTGTCCCCAGTATTGATGTACCCAGTGTTCCGTGGATTAAAAGCCCCTTTGTCCAAATACCCACACTTGTGGTCTTGGCCACTTGAGAGCGCGTGCGCGCGACAGGAAGTAAGTGTGCAAGACTTAAAGTCCCAGGTCTTAAAAATACCAAAGCGCAGTGCCCTTAACGCACTCTAAACCCACACTATCTCGAATACCGCTCCGGAGCACTATTCGAGGCTTAGTGTATACCATCATGCATCATGTTCTGGAAATAAATCGTAAGACTTTTTGCCGAGATCTCGCGAGAGGTCACGGAAACCTTTCCAATGTAAGTTAAATATTAATATAATAATTAGATATTACAAATAACTTGGTAGAAAAACAGTGTTTTTACTTTTAGTGGTGCAAAGATGAGTTGTGGTGATATTTATTTTGTACAAAATTTTTTTTATCATTTAATTAGAAGCACCACAAATTAAAATTGTCATGTTATAGGGACTACTGAACAGATATTTAGAAGTTGATTTTAAATTGAAATTAAAATAAAGCTGTGTAAAGACTTGCCTTTTTACAACACTATAAGTGTGTCCCATCAGGTAATGAAGAGTTCGACACACACTTGTGGTCTTCACACCCACTTGAAGACTTTGGCCAAATACAGGAAATACGTCATTTAAGTAATCAAGTGGTCAAGTGCAAAGACTTTTATGTGGGTATTTGGACAAAGCCAGCCTGTTTTCGTTTACTCGTGCCTCCAGCGTGCTTCCTAGTAAAGTGTGACACATATCATGTTCATATCATGCAATTCTTCATTTATATCTCAACAATTCTGCATTTTCTTGCAATTCTGCCTTTTTTCCCCCTCTCAGAATTGGAAGTAAAAAAGATCCAAATTGTTAGATATGAACTAGGAATTGCAAGAAAAAAAGTCTGAAATGTGAGATAAAAAGTTGCAGTTGCCGTTTTTAATAATCAAACATCCATCAGTAGCTGTGTATTCAGACTGAATCTTCTGCAAATAAATCATTCATTCGATCATCCTTTTGAACCAATTCCATTCAATGAATCTGTTGGTCCAGACTGATTCGTATACAAATTTGACTTGACGGCTTCTGTAGACTTGGAAAATGGTGCACAGATTTTATGGAAATCTTTTATTATGCCTTAATGGTGTTTTTCGGCCTTGTGCTTTGCTCGTTTGACAAAAAACACATGAAGATTCCCCACAGCAAAAAGACCCATTCATATGGCTCGAGTAAATGATGTACTGAGGTACTACTCCCTTTAAAGACATCAAGTTTAAAAGACACTGATGTGTGTTCATTTCCTCACCTGATGTTACCCCATGAGGAGCAGACGGTGAGGAGCCGTCTTCATTACCGTCATCTATCCCTGCAGTTAAATCATAAAATGCCTGAGCTGCAGTCTGGCTCCGCCGCTGGATGAGGAGCAGAGCGAGATACAGGTTTTTTGAAGTTAAATCGAAGACATTTTAAGACCTTTTTGAGACCAAATAAAGGAAATTTAGGGAATAAACTAAACACAATTTGTCAAAATGTCTAGGAAGCACATAAGTTGTATTAGCAGCACTTCAAAATTTGACAATACAACTTCCAAGAGATCTTTATTAATTTTTTGAAAATAACTTTTACTGCACCTTCTGATCAGACTGCAAAAAGTACTGTTCTTCATCTGTGTTTTTGTCTTGCTTTCCAGTGCAAATGTCTAAAGAGTCTTAAATCAAGATACATTTACTTCAGAAGATAAAATACTTAAGGTAAGTCTTGTTCTCTGATAAAGTGTTTATGATTAAAACAAGAACAAATTCTGCTCATGGGCTCTGAAAAAAATAAACTTCCTTCAAACGGGAAAAAGTTTTCATACCCCATTGACATTTGTTCTTGTTTTAAGCAGTAACTCATTTAATTTTGTTCAGTTTCTCCAAAAAACAAGAATTTGTGTAAGACTTTTGGCTCAGATTTAAGGCCTTAACTTGTGGAAGGAGACCACAAGACCGAAAGAGACCCTGTTATTTTAAGATTAAAAATAAATAAGATTATTTTTATTTTATTTTCAATTTTAGTAAAAGTTTTAAATTAGATTTTAAAAAATATATTTTTAATTTCAGTAAAAGTTTTAGTAATCTTATTGTGTTGTTGTATTTTTTTAGGGAAAAATACTTAAGGTAAGTCTTGTTCTCTGATAAAGTGTTTATGATTAAAACAAGAACAAATTCTGCTCATGCGCTCTGAAAAAAATAAACTTCCTTCAAACGGGAAAAAGTTTTCATACCCCATTGACATTTGTTCTTGTTTTAAGCAGTAACTCATTTAATTTTGTTCAGTTTCTCCAAAAAACAAGAATTTGTGTAAGACTTTTGGCTCAGATTTAAGGCCTTAACTTGTGGAAGGAGACCACAAGACCGAAAGAGACCCTGTTATTTTAAGATTAAAAATAAATAAGATTATTTTTATTTTATTTTCAATTTTAGTAAAAGTTTTAAATTAGATTAAAAAATTTTTTTTTTTAATTTCAGTAAAAGTTTTAGTAATCTTATTGTGTTGTTGTATTTTTTTAGGGGCCAAGCACCAAAGGTGCTTAGGCACCTATTGTATCCGTTAGTTGTCGTCTTCTTCATCTTCTTCTTGGCAGCCCATAGAACTGTTTAAGGGAAAGTTATGAAATTTGGCACACAGATAAACGACAGTCTCAATATTAGCTATAGCAAATTTGGAGGCTCTATCTCAGACTCTCTAGTGTCACCAACAGGCCAAATTTGCACTCATGTTTCTGCCTAGAACTTTTGAACCATAAGGCCTAGAATCAAAATTTGTGCAAAAATGGACTTGAGGCTATATCTTCGCCAATGCTTTAGCGGATTCAGACCAAATTGGTGCGTGTTATACCAAGCATGACCTGAGGGAGCATGAGTAGTTTTGGCACAACATCACCAACTGTTCAAAATTTGATTAAAAAATATATTTTTAATTTCAGTAAAAGTTTTAGTAATCTTATTGTGTTGTTGTATTTTTTTAGGGGCCAAGCACCAAAGGTGCTTAGGCACCTATTGTATCCGTTAGTTGTCGTCTTCATCTTCTTCTTGGCAGCCCATAGAACTGTTTAAGGGAAAGTTATGAAATTTGGCACACAGATAAACGACAGTCTCAATATTAGCTATAGCAAATTTGGAGGCTCTATCTCAGACTCTCTAGTGTCACCAACAGGCCAAATTTGCACTCATGTTTCTGCCTAGAACTTTTGAACCATAAGGCCTAGAATCAAAATTTGTGCAAAAATGGACTTGAGGCTATATCTTCGCCAATGCTTTAGCGGATTCAGACCAAATTGGTGCGTGTTATACCAAGCATGACCTGAGGGAGCATGAGTAGTTTTGGCACAACATCACCAACTGTTCAAAATTTGACATTTTTGTTTATAATTTGTGATCAGTTTGACCACAAATCATAAGAATTAGATCTTGTTAGATTCGGAGCAGTGTACCAAATCAAACGATACTAAATTTTCCTATGACGAAATTTTAATTTTGAGCGTGGATCATTTCAGTAAAATCCAGTGGACTATTTTTAGTAAAATGCTATATTTTTCAAAAGCTTTAGTGTATTGTTATGAATCTTATAGAATCGCTTGCAGGAAAGTTATGAAATACGGCACACGGATAGAGGACAGTCTCATCATTAACCACAGCAAATTTGGAGTCCCTAACTCAAGCTCTCTAGCCACCAATAGGTCAAATTTGCACTCATGTTTCTGCTAATAAATTTTGAATCGTAAGGTCTAAAAGCAAAATTATTTTTTCCTCTGATTCCTTGGCCGAGTCAAATGTACACCAACAATTACATTTCAATCTTGCAATTTAGAATTTTCCAAAAAAAAATCTACTTTCAAACTCGTCCTTGATAGTTTGTCCAATTTTCACCAAAATTGGCATAGATCATCTTCAGAGCATTCTGGCAAAAGTTAACAAAAGCTTTTTGATATACCAAAAATCAGTAGATTGGTCTCGTTAGATTCAGAGTGGCATACCGAATCAAACGATACCTATTTTTCCTATGTCAACTTCAAACCTAATCAAACACACCTGAACCAGTTAATCAAGGTGTTCAGGGCTACTTAATTACAGACAGGTGTGTTGAAGCAGGGTTGGAACTTAAGTCTGCAGGACGGTAGCTCTCCAGGAGCAGGGTTGGAACTTAAGTCTGCAGGACGGTGGCTCTCCAGGAGCAGGGTTGGAACTTAAGTCTGCAGGACAGTAGCTCTCCAGGAGCAGGGTTGGAGAACCCTGGCCTTAGCTTTTCATTTTACCTCTGTTGTGCTTGGCCCGTTAATTGCTGCTTGCAGCTATATTTATTATTGTTATTATTTTAAAAATGTCTATAGTTTTTTTTAAGGGGATAGTTCACCCGAAAATGAAATTATTTTTATGGTTTTAGTTTTAGTTCAATAACCCTGCTTCACACAGCAGCAAATATTCTTGTTTTAATACTGGTCTTGTTTGTATAAGTAATGATGTTTACGTATAATTTGAAGGTGAAATGTGAAATTGGTGCTACTATAGCATCACCGAAGGAAATTATTTTTACATTTTCAAACGAGTTTCCTTAACACTCCCTACTCTGTGACAAACATTTTAAGCACTTGTTGTGGGCCAGTATGCACCAGTAACAGCCGTTCCTTGCTATTCTATTAACAGCAATTATTCTTGCATAATGGCAGGTCTTTTAACATGCTGGTTCTCTCTCATCAGAAGAACTCCTAAACAACTAACCGGACACCCCTCATAAATGCCATGAATGAGCGTGCTACTGTGAACAACACTGAAAAACTGTTGATCATCAAGACCCAATTTAGCATTTCTGCATGATTCAGAAAAATGGTCTAGTGTGCAAGATGTTTGCAGAGCAACTGATGCAGCACTTAATACGCTACTGAATAGAACAGGATGTTACATAAGTTTTGGAATGCAGCTGAATTTAACAAGCCTCACTGGCCGAGTAAGAAATGGCTTCCCATTGCCAAAACATTCTGAGTATACAGTTTATATGGTGGAATGACAGTGAGCATATATAAGTAATGCAAATAAAGTTTTGTTTAGAAACCATTTACTTTTGACTCTCCAGCTCTTTCTCCTGTGCTCAAGCTGAGTGTGTTTTAGTGTTGCTGTACTGAAGCAAAATCTGGAAATAAACACACTGGGATGTTTTTAAATGAATTGACTGTGCAGAATCCAGCTGACTGTGCAAACTGAGAACTGCATGCACACTAATACTGTCATGTGTAGAATACATTTTTTTCTCTCGTGATCTGCTTACTAAGGCTACATTTATTTGACCAGAAGTGCAGTAAAAGCAGTAATATTTAAAAATATTGTTACAATTTAAAATAACTCTTTTCTATTTAAGCATTCTGTTAAATGTAATTTATTTCTGTGATCAAAGCAGAATTTTCAGCATCATTACTCCAGTCTTCAGTGTCACATGATCCTTCAGAAATCATTCTAATATGCTGATTTGCTGCTCAAGAAACATTTCTGATTATTATCAATGATGAAAACAGTTGTGCTGCTTCATATTTTTGTAGAAACTGATACATTTGATTTTTTTGGATTCTTTGACGAATAGAAAGTTCAAAAGAACAGCATTAATTTGAAATGGAATTTTGTTACAAATGCATTTACTGTCACTTTTGATCAATTTAATTCATTCTTGCTAATTAAAAGTATTAATTTATTTAAAAAAAGTTAAACAGTAGTGTAGGAACTTCTTCAACAATGAATAAAAGCACCCGCAATGTACGGTTGGTTAAGATGATATCCAAAGTGAGCACAGCTGGAATCCAGACAAAGAAAAAGCTCAGATATGGGAAATTTGGTCACTACATAATTCCCATACTTCCATTTGTGCCATTTCATACTTTTGACGACTACTATTATTCTAGCATGTGGAAAACAGGAGTCTTTGCACTCCTGACTGGAAGTGTATATTCTCACTGTGCCCATTACAAATGACACTTGCAGTATCTTTGATGAATTAAGTAAGGTCTTTTAGTCGGTAAGTCATTCTCAGTGTCCAGACGGTGCATGTTGGTACTGGACTGTAGCCTCACTACATCCACAGGACTTTAAAACCTGCTAACCACTTCCTCCCAATAACCATTAATGAAGCTACTGTTCGAGCAAACCTCCAAACACGTGTACCGCAGATTTCATGCCGAGCAATAATGGTATGGAGAGAAAAAACGGGTAGAACAAGAGTGAGAGATACCTCGCACAGCAGGAAACAAGACGGTGCCAAACAGACCGGATTCCGGCTCCAAACCACAGAGCCGAGTGGCATTCCTCCCCTCCGGTGTGATGGCTCTACCTGCCGCTTCAGCCTGACCACAGGCTCTACAGCCAAACCAGACTCCATGGAACAGTCATCACAGCCTGCAGAATGTGCTCCACTGAACACTTTAAAGTGGTCAGCGCTACAGGCTATGAAATGTGCACAATAAGTAGAGTCTTTGTGAGGTGGAACACATGCTGGTGAATCAAGGTTTATACAGCTATATTAACTCTGATTAAGCATGTGGATGGTTGCAAAAACTGCAGATTTTTCACACTGAACGCATTAGTTCCAGCAGGTGCAATGCACAAAGTTGGAAAAGAAGAAACATAGCAGTTTACTCGGAGTCAAATAAGCAGATCATTTAAAAGTAATAGTTGAATTCTGTCATTCACTCACCCTAAATATTATGTTATTATCCTTTTTCTTGTTTTGGAGCTTCACTTACAGTATAAACACTGTATATAAAGAGCGATTTTAAGATTTTAAGATCAGGTTTGTTTTTCTTTTTGAAAGAAATTAATACTTTTATTCAGCAAGAATGCATTCACTTGATCAAAAGATTCAGTTGAACGTATTCAAAAGATTCAACTGCTTTAAATAAATGCTGAAGAAAATGGAAAATTCTGATAAATTCAGCTTTTATCAAAGGAATAAATTACATTTTAAAATATATTAAAATAAAAAAAAAGTTATTTTAAACTGCAAAAATATTTCCTAATATTACTGTATTTTACAGTATTTTTGGTCAAATAAATGCAGAATTGGTTAGCATGAAAGTCTTCTTTCAAAATTTAAACATTTTAAATGGTAGTGCATACTGCACACTTGTTGTTGTTGTTGTTGTGTGTGTGTATATATACACACACACACACACACACTAATAAAATGGCATCTTGTGACGACATGAGGGAGGGTACATGGTGATTATTGTAGGATTTTGGGAAGCAGTGGTCATTGTCCAGCATTATTGATGCTCTAAAGGGAAAGTTTCAGGATCCAGGAACGCAGTAACTCCAGTTACACAACTGATGGTTGAGGTCTGGGAAGGAATGGAAAGACGTGTTGAGGCCAGCTTTCTTTAACGGTGAGTTGGTCTCCTCACCCCAGCTATGGAAAACCAGCTCATCTGCTGTGCCATGAAACTGAAGCAGCTCAGGTAGAGGCCATTGGGATGCATTTTCTACTGCCTGTGCCGAAGATTAGAGATGTGTTTGACATAATGATATGAAAAATCCTTGGTCATAAGACATTCTGAAGGCTATTAACTACCTGATATACAACTTGTTAAAGGGGTCCTATTATGCTCTTTTACAAAGTCTTGATGTTGTTTTGGGGGTGAGCTAGAACAGGCTCTCATACTTGGTTGTTCGAAAAACACATTATTTTTCACATATTTTACATTATTACAACACCTCTCTCCTCAGTCTGGCATGAACGGCTCGAATAGTTCCTGTATCAAATGAAGGCCCACCTTCTGAAATACGAAATGTGCTGTGATTGGTTAGCTGGGCCAGTGTGTGCTGTGATTGGTTAGCTGGGCCAGTGTGTGTTGTGATTGGTTATCTGGGCCAGTGTGTGCTGTGATTGGTTAGCTGGGCCAGTGCGTGCTGTGATTGGTTAGCTGGGCCAGTGTGTGTTGTGATTGGCAGCACTCGGCACCTGCTCAGGAAATGTCACGCCCCTTACCATAGCCGCATGCTACGAGCTTCAGTGTAAATATTACGTCAAAATCAAATCAATTTGAGCGCGATTTAAACCCGAATGATTGTAACCGCTCTAAGTTCATCTGCTTTGGGAAAGCTAGCATGTCTCAGACATAGTGATAACACTTGTTACCTTCTCTAGTGCAGCTCAACCAGGTCTCGTCCCATTCGTCGATATTTGTGATATCACAAATCCCGGAAAATATGCGTTGTAGTCCAAACGAGTCATTCGTTGTAGTTTTAGAAAAGTGATTTCTGTTAAATAAAATATCTCCTTTGAAAGTGGACTTTGCAGACCTTTTTTATGCTCAAACAGCAACATTACAGAATAACTACAGTTGAAAAAGTGAAAAAGCATAATAGGACCCCTTTAAGAAAGCTGGACAGAGCGAAGATGCCAGCCACATCCCGGTGATAACCTACAAACCAGGTTTAATGCCATGGCGCCACCCATCGAAAAGCCACCTCGAGTCAAACATACAGACATTAGACAAGCATTCAGTTGAAATTATGTACATATAAAGAAGCATTTAAGTCCTACTTATGTGGGTAAAAAAAAGTTCAGCTAACTGCATTTAATATAATTTTAAACCATAATACATGGTTTGCACTTAGGTGTACTCTTTCAATGCATATGCTTTCTTTAATAAGTGCTCTTTTTGTTAAAGTATACCGCACTTCTTTTTGTGTCAAATAACAGAGCCAGCGTCTGAAAATGAAAGACTATAGAAATTTGAAACCCTGGCATTTCATGATTAAGGCTGAACTGAACTTCTTAGATGGGAAAGGCATCACTTTAAATGTAAATTTATAATTTTTGTTCTATCAGTTTGACACGGGACCCAGCAGTCGCATGTTTAATTTGTTTCAATGAAAGGCATGCAGCAAGGTTGTAAACCCTTTTCCATGATCTTTTCTCACTCAGCAGTGGCAGATGCCTCGGTCTTGATGAGTCATTGATTCAACCACTACTTTTATATTATATCTTTTAAATTGTATGTTATTTTTTCACTTCTACAGGTCAGTGACTGCTCCTAATCAGTGCATTTTTAAATGCATTATACAGATGTGATTATTGTTAATAATGTTTACATGCAAACAGTCTGTGACAGAATTTTTATGTCTGAAGGTTATGAAAACCTTATGGAGCAATTAAGTCAGGAGGACATTAATAAATGCATGCAATTCAAAGTGGTCTACAGTAGCCAATCTGCCCAAAATGAAATTTAAAACAAAAAAGGAAAGAGAAAAGAAAGCTGGCCTTTAGTTCCACTTCATCAAACCTCCATTATTCTGAAGTCCTCTTTCATGCCTGTGCTTAATCTTACACATCTGGGTAAATCTGGGCACTACATCTGGGAAAGTGAACAAGTACCCATCAGTCTGTCAGAGGAGCCAGGTTGAGATGGAGGATGGATGGAGTTCACATGTTCTTCAAACCTCTTATAGAGATGTTGTAACCAGGACTAATTAACAGGTCTACTGCTCTTCCCTTTTACGCACTACTCGGAGACAAAACCAACGAACTCCATCCTAATATTGAACTTACTGAGAAATCCACATGCCGTTTGGCTAAAAAATTCTGTGCATGCATGTTTGACTTTGGCTTTTCCCATTAACTACGACACCTAAAAGGTTGAAAAACGCAATATATATATGACAGTGTTTTCCATGGAAAGTTCTGGCGCTTGTCAGTCCGTCAGCCTGGGAAGTGGACTCAGCGTACAGACCACTTCGTTTCTCCAGCATGCAGAGTGACTCCAATGAGTATTTATAGTTAATGACAAAATGTTATGATTTAGGAAGATAATATTTCAGCAGTCTCACAGGAACATGTGTTTTTTGAATCAGTTTCTTTGGAACCGAGTTCAGGGGCTTTTCTGTCCTTCCACACAGAGCCTTTTCACACAAAGACTTTTTTTTTTGCACTCTTCACGTTTTACTTGTAACTATTTCAGGGCATTTACAGTATGTGTTATTGGCTTGTCGGTTAACCCTTCCTTGAATGTTGCCATTGGGTTTAACTCTCTGAGCAAATCGTAACCTCGTTTTAATGTCTATCCGGTCTTCGTCACACACCCTGAGGGAATTTACCTGGGTTCTGCTAAGATCTCTTTTTACTTTATGATTTTCTGCCACTTTGTGATATATATGTGGACCCGATAACCCGAATATTCTGAGATAAAGCTTAGCAGAAACTCGAGAATCATCCAGAAATTCTTCTTGGCCCATTCTGGCAACAAATTAAAGGAATAAGAAACTTGATAAGTTTCATTCTTCATTTAACACAACGAGGGAGAGACTTATGAGCAGTGGTCTGAGACTCTGCTTAATTTGGAACAAGTGGAGTGTGAGAGTGTGTAAGACAGAGGAAAGCAATAAGGTAGGGAGAGATAGATGGATGGGGAGGAGAGAGATAAGCCAGTAGCCATACCAATAACCATCCTGTGTTTCGGGATTACAGCTCGGATCTCCTCCTGTACAATGGCGCTTAAATGATCACACATGGAATCTATAGACTCCAAATGTTCTGGGCAGTCCTGGGAAATCTTGTGACGATCGAACCACACACTAGACTGAGCCCTTCGCATGGGTGTGTACGGCCTAAAAACAAACAATTATAGCAGTGAAGTGATAATTCAATCAAAACAAAGCTGAAGAAACTGCTAAATGAATTACTGCATTTACAGAGCCGTGAGAAATGTTTGTAAAATGTTTGGAATGACATTAATTTCTGCTTGAATTGCACCTTCATTTAAGTTATGAAGTTGTTGCAATTAAGTTTTAATAAATGAACTACAATGCAAACTAGGGCTGCTCGATACTGACAAAAATCATACAGTAACCACCAATATTTTGGTCATATTGTAATCATGATTATTTAAAACTATTATGAGTGGGCCATATGACCAAAACTTTATATGAATGATTTATTTAAAGATAGCGATATATATACAATATATTTTTACTGTAAATAAGGTTCACTGTAAAAAATTATTGTAATTTTAGTAGTAAATTTTTGTAGTAAAAGACTGAAAAAATGCTACAGCAAAAACCTGTTAACTGGTTAACAGTAAGTTTCCATACTGTATTCGGTGAATAAATGTAATTACATTTAATGTGATTTTACAGTAAAATGCTGTTAAAAATACGGTTTTTGGAAGGGTAAAAGAAAGTCATTGTATAATTTACAGTGAAAAACCATAAATTGACACTCCCAGAATTCCCTGCATGACACTTCATATTTAATGTTTTTTTTGTTGAAATAACATGTTTCTTCTTAGTTTTTTCATATCAGTTGTGTACACTAGGGTTTAATCTTACATCTAATGTTGTTAAATTAATGTTTATTGCATTAT